TTTTGCATATGGATATCCAGTTGTTCCAGATTGATTGTCAAGACTGTTCTTCCTCCCTTTCATTGGTTTTGCACCTTGTCAGAGATCAGTTGACCTTTTTGTGTGTGTCTCTGTTTCTGGACTTGCCATCGCGTCCCCTGCATCTGTGTGACTGTCCCTTCACCAATACCACATTGTTGTGGCTACTGTAGTTTTATAGGAAGTCCAGAAATCAGGTGGTGACCACCTCCCTTTTCAGCTTGGTGGTTATTATTCCCCCCACTTTGCAGAGGAGGAAGCTGACCACAGTCCGGCTTAGCTGTCTCGCTCACAGCCCCCCTTACGTCATAAGTGAGCTGCTTATTTCATGCTCAAACCCCACGTCTTCTCAGCCTTACCTGATGCTCAGAGGGTGGCCTTCGGAGTCTGGTTTGGGCTGAACTTTCAGCTGTGCTTTTATTAGTTGTGTGGCCCTGGGAAAGCAACGTTAACCCCTCTGAGCCTCAGTTTCCCCATCTGTAAAATGAGTGTAATGATGGTAACTGTTTTATAACTTGTGATGAGGATTCATTGCGATGAGGATCAAACCATATAGAATGGCTGATATCTGACCATTTTTGAGCAACACGAGTAACGATTTTACACAGTTCAATCTCATATGCCAAATGTTTCTCATAGCACTGGAGAGAGGGTGCGTACTCCAGAAATGGTAGCTATCGCTGTTGTCATCATCATTGTCATTGTCATCATTGTCACTCTTACTACTGCTCATGCTGCTGTTGCTACTACACTATTATGGTGGAGGGTGGTGGGCCCTGAGGGTGATGGTTCGTGTTCTCTGTGTCCCTCAATCAGGCAGCCAATCCCCACCAATTACTCCCTGGTTGACAGTCTTCCTGCCCAATCTGCGAAGAGTAACAGGACCCACCCTCTGCTCTTGTGGAGCAGAAGTGCCCACAAGGGAGTGTGTCAAGTACAACGGGAGAAGCTTGCTGGGAAGGAAAGGCTGGCAGGACTTCCCAGATGGGCCCGTTAGGTGGGCCTTATAGGACAACTGGGAGTTTGGGACGGGAAGAACATTCCAGGTGCAAGTTACCGCTTGTGCCAAGGCTCGGGAGGGGGAACAGACAGGCTTCCGGGGAGCCTGAGGTTTGACTGTGGGTGGAGAGTGGGAAGCGGCCCACGGTGGCCCAGAATGGGTTCACAGATAACCCCCATCCTTTCCCTCCACAGGTGGCCCTAGTTTGCCAAACCGCCTTGAGGAGCCAGGTTCAGAAGACCCCTCCCACCTCTGCCTCTGCCATGGCCTCGAGAACCATCATCATCGACCACGGGTCTGGCTTTGTGAAGGCTGGCTTGTCCGGCTGGAACGAGCCCCAGATGGTCTTCCCGAGCATCGTGAACTACAGCCCGTGCCGGGAGAACCCCGGGCCCAGCTACGCCCGGCGGCGCCTGGGTCTCGGCATTGACCTTTTCCGTCCCGACACCTTTAGCTACCCTGTCCAGCGTGGCCGCGTCTTCAACTGGGAGGGAGTGGAGTACATCTGGTCCATTGTCCTGGAGAAATACAGGCGGGAGGACAAGGAGGCCCCTGTGTTGATGACAGAATGTCCCCTGAAGGAGCCTGCAGACCGACAAAAGACCCTGGAGGTAAGGCCTTCATAGGTCGGCCCTCACTGGGGGGCAGGCATCAGCTGGCACTTTGTGTTTGGTTATGATTGGGCATCAGGAAGTCTGCGTTCTTAAGCATTTGCCCTCCGAATGTTTCGAGTACCTCATGTGTTGCCGGCACTGTGTTAGGCAAGAGGGACTCAGAGAGGGGCCTCCCACTCACAGAGACACAGCAGGAAAAATGCTCTGTGGAGCGGGCTCTCTGGGGAGACACCGGACAGTCATGGGTTCCACAGATGTTCACCGAGCAGATTGTGGCCCTCAAAGAGCTTACCTTCTGGGGGAAAGGACTTGACCATGAATAAGTTACCGAAAAAGAATTCCAGAGAGTGGTAAGTTCTAGAAACAAAATGAAGGGGGGTAAGAGCTGACTGGTGAAGATAGAGGGAGCCCCTTTAAAGAGGGTAGCCAGGGAGGGTTTCTCTGAGGAGGAGATTTCAGCCAGTGAGGCGGGAGCCCAGCGAATGAGGGAGGGTAGCAAGGAGACGAGGTGAGGTTGGCAGGGGCTCAACCTGGCAGGCCTGGCAGGTTGTGGAAAATGCTTGGATTTTACTCTTAAATCAAGAGTTGACAAACTACAGCCAGTGGGCCAAATCTGGCCCAACATCTGTTTTTATAAATAAAGTTTTATTGGAACACAGCCATGTCCACTCATTTACATATCACCTATGGCTGCTTTTACGCTTCAACAGCAGAGTTGCGTCAGAGACTATACAGCCCATAAAACCTAAAGTATGTACTGCTCTAAGTTTGCTAGGTAAACTAACTACAAGATGCCTAGTTAGATTGGAATTTCCGATAAACAAGGAATAACGTTTTAGTGTAAGTATGTGGCACAGGACGTGCTTATACGTAATCATTATTTGTCGTCTATCTGAAATTCAAATTTAACTGGGCATCCTATCCGTTTTTCTTTTCAGTGTCAAAGTGAATGCTTTAATGAGTGTTACTGATGGGGCCTCCTATATTTTTATTTGCTATACCTGGCAAGCCCGGCTGTCTAGTCCTTTACAGGCAATGCTTGCCAAGCTCTGCTCTAAACGAATAGGAAGCTCCTGGGGAGTTTTAAGTGGGGAGTCATATGCGGTTTTCTATTTGGAAAAGAGGATCTTGGGAGGTGGATGGAAGGGGGTGGGGGGAGGGACACTATTCTGAGTGTGGGAATGGAGGGCGCGCCCTCCCACTGAGGGGAGAAGGGGGGGGGGTCCTGCGGGCGGGGCCTGAAGGCTGGACTGCAACAGCCTTTCTGCATCTATAGTAGGGGTCAGATGAGACTTTTGAGACGGAAGAGCCAATCCTGTCCCTCACAACAATTTAAAAATTATTCGAGAGCCATAAATATATTTTTACAAATAAGGAAAATTTTAAAATCCTTTAAAAATTTTACAAATGAAACTATGATAGTTTTATTTTCATTTTCAATTTTACTTCAGAGCCACATGTACGTACCCAGAGAGCCGCGTGTGGCTCGCTAGCCACAGTTTGCTGACCCCTGATCTATAGGGCCAGAAACAGAGGGGTGCACCCAGAGCTGGGTGCTCTGTAAAGATGGAGGGGGTGATGGGCAGGGGGAGAAAATCCACTTAGGGACTTTGTCAAATGCTAAATATCAGAATTCCAGTTTTTGGTTTGATGTTTGAAAAGTTTTTATTTAAAAAAAAAGATAAATCTTCACCTACAAGGAGGTGAGGGTATTTTCTTTCTTTCTTTACACCCCCACTCTTTGGGAGGCAGCGGTGAACATGCGGCACTAGTTTCTTTTCTAATCCCTTTTTTCCTCTTCTAAAGAAATGGTTCAGGCTGTCCCTCTGCCCCTCAGCCGTGGCCCCGCACCCGTCCCCCAGTACTCACATAGCCAGGCGCCTCGGCGTATTTCTCCCAGCCTGATGGTTCTTCCTACCCCTCCACCAAAATGGTCTTCTGAGAGACCACCATCAGACAAGCTCCTGAGGGCCAATCTGACTCTTTCTAATCCTCTAGATTATTCCCTTATTTCTAATCCTCCCTTATTCCCACAATTTGAGCTCTAGGGCCCTGGGCCCAGCCCATCAGTGCCTTGAGGACATTTGTCTGTACCCACTTCAGTTTTGAGAGCTGCGTGTAGCATGGTCTTGAGGAAAACAGAAATGGATCAGGGCCCTTTGTCCTAGGAAAGTACCCACTGTGTCTACTTTCCCCCTTTTTGCAGATTATGTTTGAGTTACTGAACGTCCCGTCCTTACTACTGGCTGACCAGATGGAGATGTCGCTGTATGCCTCTGGCCTCTTGACTGGCGTGGTGGTTGATTCTGGCTACGGCCTGACCCGCGTCCAGCCCTTCCACCTGGGCCACCCGATACAGTCCAGCAGCAAGACGCTGGAATTTGGGGGCCAGGATCTCTCCGACTATCTCTTCAAGAGCCTCTTTAAGGAAGATTGCAACAAACACAACCTGTTTCAGCTGGAAACGGTTACCACCACTCAGGTACACAAGTGCTACGTGCCGCAGAATCTGGGGGAAGCGCTGGACTTTCGTCAGAGCCTGCCGAGTGGCTCGGATGAGAGTAACACCTATCATCTCCCGGATGGCACCCCCGTGGAACTGACCCCCATGCAGCGGCTGGCCCCCGAGATGTTCTTTAGTCCCCAGATGTTCGATGTGCAAGGGCCCAGCATCTCCCAGGCTGTCGTGGATTCCATCAAGACCTGCGAAGCCTCCTTGCACCCCCTGCTTGTCTCTCACGTGATGGCCTGTGGGGGGAACACCATCTACCCGGGCTTCACCAAGCGCCTGTACAAGGAGTTGACCACAGATCATTTCTCCTGTTCCAAGGCCACCATGTGGGTGGGTTCCCACAGAAACCACAGCGTCTGGCTGGGAGCATCTGTTGTGGCCCATCTGTCTACTTACAAGTCTGAGTGGATGACCAAAGAGGAGTATGTGGAGGGTATGAGGCTGTGAATTGTTGGCTCTCTCGGGGGACCCAGCTCCCATCAGATGGGCATGGGTGGATTAAATTTCAGTGACAGGGTCTGGGTGCGGGTGGGGTTACGTGGTTTTAGAATTCTGAGCTTCTCAGAGATTTTTTTAGGTTCTAGGGTTTTATCTTGTTCCAAGAATGGGGCCCAACGCATGGGGGACAGGGTGTTGTCCCTGGAAATCCTCCAGGGCACAGTTTTTCCAGGGTTGGTCTGTCATTGGGATGGGGGCAGCCAGCTGCCATCTCTATGCCTAATGGCCACTGATGTTTTATTGGCACCTCCCTTGGGTTGTCCATTCTTTTGGCTAAGTAGGTTTAAACTGGGGTAAGAGAATTATTTTTGAGTAGGGGAGAGGGATGGGGTGTCTGGGGAGAGTCGAAGTTTCTAGTTCTCTATGTTCTTTCTGGCCAGGGAGGAATAGCTGCCAATGAGCCCTTCTTACTGTCGCCAGGGTTTTGTCTTATATATGCAAATAAACTACTTGTTTGGAACCAGTACTGGCTTCTGTGATGGATGGGGTAGGATGGGCACTCCCCGGGGAGACTCAGGGAGTATGAGTATGTGAGAACCAGGGGCCAGGGCAGCTGTTAAAGAATTCAGGGGCCCTGGACAGTGGTCACCACTGAGCAGAATGGAGAAGGGCCTGGAGCCCCCCGATCTTCCTGTGCCACGCCCTCTCCAGATGTCCCACTATTCTGTTAAAAAGTCCGAGGTCAGTAAGTAAGTAAATGTATTTCAGATGATGATTCAAATGTAACAGGGTCACGTGATCTGTGGGTGGAGAGGTGCTTACTTTTGAGGGGGTAGTCGGAGATGGAGACCACTGGGGACTGTTGACGACTGTGCCCTCTCCTTCCTTGGCACACTGTGAGGCTACAGTCCCCGGCATCCCTACAGCTAGGTAGAGCCACGTGACCATACCATAAATTCTGCCCATTCGTGTGTGCCTGACCCTTAAAAATAGCCATGTCAGCCCCTGGGATGCAGGGGGACCCAAGGGGGAGGGGACAGCAGAGCTGCAGATGGAAAGAGCCTGCATGACTGGGTGGGACAGAGCCCCCTCCCCAACCCTCACTGCACTGGGACATGACAAAGAATCTATGTTCAGCCATGGAGATTTGGGGGTCGCTTGTTACAGCAGCTGTTTTCCTTACTCTGACTAATACAGAGAAAGGAATCATAACGTACTATTTACTTAACAAATATTTTTTTCTGGTAAGTGGCAAAAGTGGGGTTCAAATCCAGTCTGAGCCTCAACCACTGTGTTATATGGCTGCTTCTGAAAGGGGGTCTTGGTTCCAATGTTAGGAATAGAGAAACAGTATAGTGAGTGGAGGACTAAGGCCCAAGGAACCCCAATGTTTCAGGCACAGGAAGGGGAATTTGGAGGCCAAAATCCAGTTCATTCTGTCTTTGGCACATGAACTATATTCTCTCGGCCACAACTTGAGCTATCAGTGGTCCCCAGTGAAAGAAATGGCAGCCTACAATGATGACTTTTTTAGGGGAACAGCTTAGAACCAGACTGGCACAAGCCCCAAGGACCTGAAGTCAGACTTGAGGTCTAGGCTGGCTCTGTCATTAGCCAGATCGACTAAGCTGCTTACTCTCTGAGCCTGTTCGGTTTAAAATAGGAAGTAATACTTCTTTCTCTTAGAGATTTGGGCTTGAGGATGAACTAATATGTGGGATGAGAAGTCACTTTGAAAACTAGGAAGTGCTATTGAAATATGAGATGTCACTTTAAATTTTATAATTTGGTCTTTCCTATTAATTAGGAGAATTCATAACAACAGCAGCCACTGTGCCTTGCTAGGCATTGTGGAGCTTTACAAAAGGAGCCACATTTAATCCTTACGTGCACACTGTGAAATGAATGATAATTGTCTCCATTTACAAATAGGAACCCTGGAGCTTAGTGACGTTAAGCACTTGTTCAACTTCATACTCAAGCCAGTAATGGATTGTCAAAGTTAGGAATGGATTCAGCATCCCTAGAAAACGAGATTAAATGTGGCCGAAACATATTGGGATTTATTTGTCTCAGGCAAGAAGTAGGCAGCCCAGTGGAACAAACAGTGGTATGTCTGTATCATCAAGGATTCTCCCCGTCTTCCCATTTTTCCACTTCTGGTATGTTGTCTCATGATCAAAAAATGGCTGCAGCAGCTCCAGGCATTCACACCTGTATTCCCTACAGGAAAAGGGAAGGTGAAAGGAGTGTGCCATCTGAGTCTGTCTCTATATTAGGAAAGCCTCCCCCAGCAGACTTCTGTTTATGTCTCCCTACTTTAAGGTAGCTGAAAGAAACAGGAGGTTCATAAGATGTTGGTTGAGCTGACCTCTGTCCCTTAGAAGAGGAGGGATTTGAACCTAGGTCCATCCATATTTAAGCCTATGTTGTTACCTGCAGTACCAGACTACCTTCCCAGTTTTCTGGGCCCTGTTGGCTCTCTTGGCCTGAGAGATGAAGACGTGTAATTTTTTTCAGGCTTGAGATAAAGCTGCTTTAGGGAAGCGATCAGGTGTTGACATACTAAGCAGTAATCTATGTGCTCCAAACCGGTTTGTGTACTCCTGAGCGTTAAACAGAAGGGGGAAACATAGATGAACATGAGGGAGAGAGGGAGCTGGGCAAGGGGTATTTTTGTTGTTGTTATTTAGCTCTGGGCAACTGTCATCAGAACACTTTTTCTCATTTTATTCTGAATGTAACATTTAACCTTTCTGTTCAAGCATCAACTCTGGCTGCCTTGTGTATAATTACAAACTTTTCTTCGCTTTCTCTCCCCCCTTCCCCACCCCGAAAGCTTTTAAAACTCTCTCACTGAGTACCATCTCTCTCCTCTGACTCTCCAATTAAATTAAAAATAGCAGCTCCGTGGGGCTGTGCAGGGCCATCAACCTCACACGGAACTGCTGGCACACCAGGCCTGGCAGGGCAGTGAGAGGGGCCCAGAAGATGCCTGCAGGCTCTGGCATGGCCTGGCAGCTGCTCAGAGCTGGGGGAGGGTGTTATCCTCCATGAGGGGTCTGGGGCTGCCTGCCAGGGGAGGCCAGGTGCAGGGGGTGGGGCGCAGGGTCTTGGCAGCTGAGGAGGGAGGGTTGGGTGGGGCTGGCAGAGGGGCTAAAGGGAAGGGCCTCTAGGGGGGCCATTCCCAGCTGTGCGGGTACAATCCTGCCAGTTTCCGTTGCCAAGGCTGGGGTTGGCACCCTTGTATTTGGGTATAGGTGGGGTTTGGATGTCCAAGTTCCCTGAGATAACCCTGGTAGGAACTTTAGGTTCTGCTGCTGCAGAGAACAAAGTCAGTGTCAAAATACTAGAACCCTCCTGGCTCTAGAAGAGGCTTGCATTGTCTCTCCCACCTCTAGGTCCCCTTTCTTTAGAGAGGCAGATGGTGAAATGGACAAGGGCTTGGACTGAAGCCATAGTGTCTGGATAAGCATCCTTGCAGTGCTGCTTTCTGGCTCAATTGCCTTAGGGGAAGTTACTTAATCTCCTATGCCTCATTTTTCCTATCTGTAAAGTGGGCGTAATAAAGATGCCTATCTCAGGGTGGTTTTGATGCTTACTGTATGGCTTTGATGAGCTATCACATATAAAACACTTAGCAAGTGCCAGACACATAAGGGTTAACTATTATTAGTTCTGTACACACCAGTCTCTATTGAACAAGTCCTTAGAAAAACCTGGCTCTTGTTTATTTTTACTGGCTCACATGCAGGTAGGCACTCGTGATACAAAATGAATGAAACATTATAAAACGTTAGCTTCCCAAAGGGAAGCATTGCAGGGTAATTTCTTCCCTTGTCTGAGTGCTCGTGCAGAGTCACATTCCATACACAGCTATCACAGGAACGGAGAGTGAGTGGCTACAGGGACATGCAGTCAGCCAGATGGGTTTCCTGTAGGAAGTGATGCCTGAGACAACTTGCAAAAAGGAACAGGACTTCGCACATGCAATTCGTTTTGTTTGAAATGCTCGTCCCTGCTACCAGCCCCATAACTGCCTGTGACAACCTGATACGGGGGCTTAAATAGGACATTTAGAATGACTGGAGAATGGGGGCAGTCAGGGATGGGGACAGATGAAGGTGGAGGTTGGCATGGCCAGCTCTTGAAGGGCATCGGAAGTCACAAGGCGTGAAGACCATCCTGAAGGTGAGGGGGAGGCTGTCAGAATTGTAAGGAGAGTTGTGATGTCACTTGAAGAACTGGACCTCTGGGTATGGCTTGGAGAATGGCCCCAAGAGGGACCGGACAAGAGCCATACGTAAGTCATGAAAACATGCATTCTATTAGACTCCAGGCTAAATGTTCTGCGTTTCCAGGACCTTACTCCCCCAATGCCTTAGACTGGGAATTGGATGTTGCTGATACTTGGGGTTGTGGTGGGTTTGAAGGACAAGCAGATCTTCCTACTGTCTGGCAGCTGTGCAGAGCACATCAGCCTGGGTGTGGCACGAGTGTGGGCCTGGGGGAGAGTGGTCGCCACGGTGAGAGAGTGAAATGACTTCATGGTGAGGGCAAGTCAGCCCTGCCCTAGCTGGAGTCTGAGCGTGGCGCCCTGTGCTCTCCCTTTCAGCACTGCAAGCCCCGGACAGCTCCCAGGCCTCTCCGCGGCTCTTCCTTTCAGCACTGCAAGCCCCGGACAGCTCCCAGGCCCCTCCCTTGCTCCCCGCCTCATTCGTGATCATCTCCTCCAAGAAGCCAATCCCGCTGAGAAAGGACGAACCTTGGCTAACAGGAAAGAGCTCTGGTGTTGGAATCAGACACCAGGCTTGAACCTCTGTTCCCCACTCGTGTGCTGTGTTGCATGGGCCGAAGAACTGACCCTTTCTGGTTCTATTGCCTCATCTGCAAAGAGGTGATCGTAGTACTTGCCTCCCCGGGCTGGCATGGGGTTTAAGTCATTTATCCATTCGATGAATATTGTTAGGTACCTACCCTGTGCCGAGCCCTTTTCTAGGCTCTGTCAAATTGAAGAA